AAAAAATAGACAAAAAAAATCCCACCAAGGTTTGATCCTATGTTAGATAAGACAGCTATTTCACAGAGAACTGGAAGTCTGGCCACACACGAAGAACTCTGTTAGGTGAAGCAGCTGTCAGCATGAAACCTGGTACCTGGGAACCCAGGGAGAGGCAGATGAGATAATACTTGTCTCAGTAAAATCTTAAACTACCCGATGTACGCTCTTAGGACTGTAAATATGGAGCATCCAATAGCAGGACACAGATGTACAGATTTATACTTCCATTTACAATAGAAATGTCGTAATGACACATCTCTGTTACTGGGCGAAACTGCATCACATGAACCAGAAGAAGAAATCCTCCCCAAAGGCATACAGCTTTGATAAAGCCCAATGCTCCTGCCTGCCCTGACGAAGGAGGGCTGAAATGTTGGCTCACTGAGATTACCTTATGTTTTGATTTAAAGGCCCGCTTCACAGCTTGCCAGGCCAAAGGAGAGACTCTAATCACCTTTAACGAGCTCTGGAGCACATCCTGAACCTTCTGCGTTGGATGGGCTGGGAGTTCATTAGCAGAAATGGCATGATTACCATCTACCTTCTGATACAATAAAATAGCAAATTTATTAAAATTACAGTTAAATCCCTCTGCAATATATAATTTAAGTTGATATATTTTTTAGCAAATCAACCGGAGAAATGAGTTAGATATTCAACCTTTCGCAATGCAGAACTATTAGTCGATTAGAAAGCAAGAGCAGGGGAGAGCAAGAGTAAAATCAGAATTGGACCTAGACTTATCCATGTTCATTCTGTTCATCTGGACTGCGTTCAACAGGGCTCCAGCCAAACTGGTTTCTAACACACGTATGGACAGAATCAATGCTCTGGTGAAACAATTACAGAAAATTATTTAGCCAGACGAAAATGTCCTACAGTGTATATAAATGTTTTAACATACAGATCTCCACCACTTCTTGCAAGTCACCTCAAATAAAACCTTTGCACTTATTTCTCTTCTTTAAAAGTTCCATACTCAGCACTCACAGTGAAAAATGTATCAAATATATATCATATCCTTGCAGTTTTACTGAATATGGGACCTAGACATGTAACCATCAATCAAAGACATGGTAGATGGAAGACAGAAAACCAAATCACCATAACCAGAACTCAAAAGAACTGTGTTTCAGTTTTGGTTTCCAAGACCAGTTCACATTTCCAGTAGGGAACTCAAGCAGCACAGCAGCATCTATTTTAGGGCAGAAGCTTTCCCACGACAGATTTGTTTTTAATTGATTAAAAAAGTGGTGCAATCTGCTTTTAAAGTAAATCTCCAAAAGTGAAGTGATTCTCTGTTCAGTGCATGTTTGAAGCCCTTCATATTGCCCTTTGGGTTAGCACCAGTCAGAATACACGGGTTCACATCTTCAGCTGTGAGCAATCAAAACGTGCACATGCTTGGAATTAATATTGTCCTGCAGAGTTGTTGGATTCACATTAAAAGGTGTCACACGTCTCACTACTACATACCTTCTGTATAAGCAGAAATGTCCATTTAAATCTCTACAACTTACCATTTAGCAGTAGATAGCATTACTCCTAACGTTCCATACAACTGAAAAGGATTGTTATAAGATTTTAGGTGTGACCTTGGTAATACTGATATTAATACTGCACTTACTGTCAGACACCGGAATAGTTCTGAGTATACAGAAGGGACACATTGCTTGGGATTGCTCTAACTATTCTTAAAAGGCAAATTTTAAAATGTCCAAACCATTGCAGAAGGTAAAGTCCTATTTTTAAAACAACTAAACCAAGAACAGAGCATAATGTGTACTGCTCAGAATGGTTTTTCAAACTGTTTTGTAAATCTGGGTTCTGTTATTCTGCTCTGGGAGGTCCACGGGCAGGACCTACTGACACCAGCCTGTCGATAGCTGGTGACTGCCAGCTCCAGCCCTCGCTGTATATTCTAGATGATTTTGTGCAGCGCCCATATTTAAGACTGAAATATCTTCAGGGCAGCCAAGCAAGGAGCCCGGCTGGCCACCTGAACAGCGCAAGCTGTGCCTGTTACATCTAAATTAATGGTCGGCAAAAGGTTGGAAAAAAACAGATTGATTTACCCTAAAAGGTCAGCATTATGGTAATTTATAGCCAAGCTAAAATGAAAGCAGTGAAAAGAGGAGTTCCTGAGTGCACCGTGGGCTCGCTCCTGGATGGCGGTGCTGGGCACCCCCAGCACTAACCAGCGGCACGCAGAGCTCTCATCGTCATTAACAGCCCTGCGCACGCAGCTGCGCCCATCTGCAAAAACCGCTTCGGATTTGGATTTTGGTGGCAAGCCAAAATTGAGGGTAGGCTGAACAGTCACTCACAGGTGGTTCAGGATAGAAAGAGAGGAGGCTGGTCATCACAAATAAATTTGTTTGCTGCCATAATCCTGTTCAGCAACGTTCTCCGAGGGATCGGATCGGCGTATGACAATGCACCTTGAGAAGAACAGAGCATTTGCTGCCCTCAGCTTTATAAGCAACAGAGAACAATGGCAAAGTCAAAATATGCCGCGATTACGTGTTGGATTGTGATTTCTTTTCACGAAGGCCTCTCAGGTTGTGCAGTTTCTCGTTACATTGACAAAACCACCTTTTCAGTTGCTCGCCAAAATTACAAAATCCTACAGGAAGGAATCTGCAGGAAGGTTCCTGCAAGGGTGATTCATCCCCCCGGATTTTGCATATTAGGAAACAACCTTTAGTTACACACCATGAACTCTGTAAACTACAAAGAGGTCAAAGCTTCGCTCAGTGCACGGGATGAACAGACTCTACAGAACTCTCTCCCTCAAATGAACATATTCCTAAATCTAAAAGAAGAAAACATGATTTTTTTTACTGATTTGGAAGTTCCAATCTGTGCCATAAAATATCATAATTCCTGCCAATACACTGCTGTTTGACGCTAAGCATTTCAGTTTTTAAATGTCCCTTTCACGTGCCCAGTCCAAGATTCAAAATTAATTCACAAACCAAACGGGATGCAACTCTTTAAAATACATGGTCACTTTAAGAACCGGCTGATATAGATACCCTTTATGTAGTGCTCAGCTCAGTAAGGATTTCATTGTATTTTGAAAGCATTCCACGTGCCGTTTGCTTTATGGGAAAGAGAAGGACAATCTCCGAGAGCAAAAATACCAAAAAAGTAGCTTTGGCCACCGTCTGCAGCTGCAGCAAAAATGTGATTTCAGTGTTGCCAGCATGTTGTCATGTATACCCCTGTTTGCTGAGTCCAACTGAAATTCTCTATTTTTAGCCTTTCAGCTACTTTCAGATAAAATTCCTGCAGATAGGACTAGCTGTATAGGGCAGATAACATACAGCTCTGAAACCACAGATGACCTCATGCAACGGCAAAGAAAGAAAGGTCTGTTACTTGAAACAAGGCTAAAATTTAACCCGCCTATACTAAAATTAAACAGGGAATGTTTTACAGCCTCATTACAAGACATAAACCAACAGTCGCTATAAATTCACGGTGTACTTATTTGTAAGGATGTAAAAAGAGTAATTAATAACCCCAAACAGCTTATCTCTGAGCCAGTACAGCCCCAAAGCTTTCCCAGGCTCGCTGCAGATTTTACAAATAGCACAGAGAAGCTATTTGAGCTGTCATTGGAGAATTATTTGTCCAAACCCAAAAGTCATTGCTCTTTGTCACAAGTCACAAGACATTTTTTTAGCGTTACACACTTTTAGTTGACATTATGGAGCGAAAATAAATAAATGTCATCCAAACTTTCAGGAAAGGGCTCCTGTGTGTAAGAACACTTACCAGCACAGATCCCAGTGAGCACTGCACAGTGCTGCTTCTTTGGGCAAAATGCACTGAACTTTCCTGTCTTCTACTGCACCCTTCCTGTGTGTCACCCTCTGTACCAAAAGGCACCTGTTCCCTTTCAAATGCCATTTATTTCCAACAGATTGCAAAACAGCTCTGAGTGCTATCATTCACGTTTATCATCTCAAGGAGTAATGTGTAAGGAACGGATACGTCACAAGTGAATCAATAGAGATTAGGATGTTCGGTTCGTATCCATCGGGATGTGCTGCTCACCCCTCTTTTGGTTTGCAGAATATGTGCTGGATATTTCTTCAGAACAAATCCTTCATGAGATTATCACACCCTTACACTTGTAGAAGAAACACTCTGAGAGCTCTTTTCCTCAAGAAACAATTTCACTCCTTAATACCGAATGAACAGTTTAGATACATGAATGAAACAATCCTAAAGTAAAGAAATTCTTTCACCCCCTCACCAAATCACTGTAAGAGATCGCTAAAGGCTTCAAACCATTTCTCTTAGCTCTGTTTCTTTCCTGAATATCAACATAGGCAAACCTATATTTTTTAACAATGTCATAGCCTCTACCTGCCATCTAATTTTTCAAGCACAGCCAGCAGTGAAATAAAGGGTTACAAAGCACTTAACTGTTAATTTGAGATTATGGAACAAGTCTGATTTTTTATGGGTTCACGTCACTTGAAAGGAGAAACTCCATTTGTCATAAGGAATGAAAACCAGGACAGAACAAGGTTTGCTCTCGCTCTCTCGAAGGAATTGTACGTTGAGTTATATAAACAGCAGAGCAACGATCAAAGGGAAATCTTAGGGCCCACAACATACAGAGGTATTAAGGGAACAGAGCCTTTTATCTATTGTGGAGGAAGGAAGTAGAGCACTGAGACATGTGTAATATACGCAATTAAAAATCAAAACCCCAAGAGAGTCCCAAAAGAGACTGAAATCAATTAAAGCCTCTTTTTTCTTATTCTGTTAAAATGACAAGAAAGAACCAAAAATGCAATCTGCAACAAAAATTATGCTCTGTCACCCGGAAAAGCCAGGCATTCGACTCTATTTCAAGCTGAATTTTTCCCCACATCCCATGAAACAAGCCCTGTTCAATCACAGACCACGTCCTCATTCGCCGCCAGTCTGAGCCTTACCTTGTCCTCCACCCTGTTCAGCCTGGCACCAATCGTGTTATTCCCTCTATCTTTGTTTTTTTCTGCGGAACAAGAAACATTTGCAAATTAATATCTGGTGGCATAACAAAATAGCAGCAAGCCACAACAGGGCGTGTTTCACTAGCCCACCAACGCAGCGTAACTGAACACCTTTGCCAGGCGGGTAGTTTTATTCCTTAAAAACAGCTTTTTGTTTCTTTTTATAGCTTTAGCCCACACCATGGCTTTTAACAGCACTTAAGTTTAAGGCACTTTCAACCTTCATTTTAGGCTTTAACCTGGGAGAACAAAACAGTTCCCAATTTTGTTAATGTTTTAATTGCCATTTCAAAACAATATGCCACTATGCAAGACTCTACAGCCAATTTGAACAATGCATTTGGGAACACTTTTTTTTTCCCTCCTAATAACTATATAGGAACATGAGTTTGAAAATGACCTTAACAGAGAGTTTTCATTAGCCAGCTGTGCTGAAAACAAACTTAGCTTTCAAAGGTCTATGTGAATCTTCCTGATTTCCCAGGAACTCTGCAATCAGAGCATGCCATTTTATTCAAAATCTGGTCTCAGAGAGATTAGAGACAACATTTTGAAAACTTCAGTGAAAGTAGGTGCTTTAAATATCAACATAAGAACAACTCTATTTTAAAGGTGTTGATGACTTAAATATTGTTGTGGATGCCTGAACTTCACAACTAGTTGGCACTGTTTAAAAATTCGGCAGCACAATGAAAAGTACTTTAACGAGTATTTTCCATTAATTATATCTTCATCAGATTAACTTTAGACACATACTTCATATTAACTTACCTGAGACAGAGATAAAAAGAGATGGCTTCCCTATGGATTGGTCCAATCTATAAAACAGAAAGAATCATTTTTAGTTTTTATCAGCCTGAACCAGCATCTTCACTAGCTGGAGAGGAGAGACCTCTTCACAAACGAGCAAAGTGAAGTTCAAATAGTTCTGGTTTGTACTGTAAGTGAAAGAGTTGCTTTGGGCTAAGAATAGCTTGACATAAAAAAATTAACAACAAAAGGGGATTAGGCTTACACTGGTCTTTAGCTCCTTTTTACCTGGGCTAGTGGGAGGTGTCCCTGCCCATGGCAGGGGGTTGGAACTAGGTGATCTCTAAGGTCCCTTCCAACCCAAACCATTCTGTGATTCTATGATTTAACCACTGTAAAGTTTTACCATTTACCATTCACCGTTGCTTTTCCTCGTGAACAGCATTGTTTCCTCTTTTCCCTGTTTTTCTGCAGATGACTTGTTGGATCTATCTGTCATCTCCTAGGTTGCTCTGAAGTGCAACTCTACCAGTATTTCACTCTGTAGGTATAACACAGCCCCTAGCATATTGGGGTTACAGGGTATAGTCAAAGCTAGTGGGGACTGGGGCAACACACATGTAAGTGCAATGAAAATTATAAGTCCCAATTATCAGATTTTTAAACTCTCTGTCTTTGCCTTCCTGTGTGAAAACTTACCCTGAATGCCATTTTATATTCCCCGACTTTGCACAGTCCTAGCAACACGGCACCTGTACCCCTGTCCTGGTTTGATCCCCGGCCCCAGCCACCGACTTAGTTCCCACCACCCCTCTGCGGGTGTTTACGGATACGGACACTGAATTTTATTGACGTACCTCCTCTGTAACTCCTTGATTCGCACCATGAGGTTGAGGTGACCCTGAGAATACTGCTCAATAACATCTCGGACATCATAGGGCTTTCTAGCTTGCTGGAAAATAAAAACCAAAAGCCATGCCTTTGAGCCACAAGGATGTAGGAATGGTCTATGGTCATGCAGACTTTTTTCAAGAATAAATAATAAGTTCTTTTAGCCCCTTTTAACACTGCGTAAACATTGGAGATATTTTTATAGTCGCCACGAGCATACATTTTGTGTGGAATAATTCTGACAATTCTGACTTCATCCACTTTTTTGTTAGTGCAGGTCTACATGCCTTTTGAGAGATTATCCACTGAACTTGAGGCCAGAAGAACTTAGGGCCAAATAAGTGTATCTGGCACTTTGCTCAGAATTTTGTGGTCATCCTAGTTTTTTCAAGCATTTTACCTATGCTGTCTATAAGTATTCTGTAGGCAATTTTCAAGGTTTGGTAAAAACCTTGGTAATGCTGAGTTACCACATCTCCTTTCTTCCATCTTTTGAGAAAAGGGAGAAGAGTTTACAGTGGTAGCTTCTTACATACTGGAATTCGTATCCCACTGGAGGTCTCTGAAATATTTTGTCACCTGTATTTCAGAAGCAGGAGGTGTCTCTGCACTGCTTAACCTTATCTCACACACTACAGGTTTTCCTCAATCCCATTCCACGAATATCTTCTTTTTGAAGCCAAAGGAAAGCGGGATACAACATAAAAACCAGGCTGGGGCACCTTCATGCAGTCCCCTGCACCTGCCCAGGAGGTAGCTCCCACATTTTAGGAATCATTACTTTAATAATCATTACTTTAATAATATCACTTCATCAAACAAATTATATTGCAGTTTGCCAGATTCCCAAAAGCCAACTGCAAACCTTGGGTGAACGTGAGATACTCTCTAGCGGAAGGCTAAATAGGAATGGGAATTGCTTTAATCTAGCCAAAGAGAACGCCGGAGAATTCCCAAGAACCCTGATTGCTTACAAACGTATACATCCTAACTAACAGCCACAGAGAAAGAAATATGATTGAACGATGCCATAAGCCCATAAGTCTTTCCATGGGCTAGTACTGTAAACATGATGATGCAGACCCGGGAAAGGGAGAGGGGAATCCGTGTAAGGGGAAATCCTGGGAAATATAACCAAATAACAGTCAAGTAAAATGGGAGAACATCCTTTGAAGTACAGGACACTCTGAACTACACTGTTTGGTACAGCCCAGTATGGAGACAAGAAAAGATGACACGCACAATTCATGATTCATACCATGACAAATGAATCACTTAAGATGATGAATTATAAGACAATAAAGGCCAGATTTTCCAGTGAAACTCTAACAAACCAGGCAACAGTTACTCACCACATCAGTGGAAGTGCAACCTGTGTTTTCAGTTTATGCTATGTATAGGATATTTGCCATGGTGAAAGACATAACACAAGTTAAAAACATATTTTAGAAGGAAATTGATTTACTCAACAGGAAGAACTTACATGGAAAGAGGAAAAAAAAGATTTAAAATGACAATGGGAAATCAGATCAAATCCCTGGTCTCTGGATCTGTGATGGATACCACACTTGTATCCATGTGCGTAACTCTTAAGACATTTAGAAACTTTCCCAACTGGAAGACAAAGGCTATTTACTCATGAATCCAGCTAATGGAATAACCGAGTATGGTGATTTTCTTTCTGAAATTCAGTTGTAAGGTTAGACTGTGCTGAAGACATCTGATTTATAACTAATATCTGAAATTCATTTTTGGTAAGTGGGCCAACAAAGCCTAGAAAACCATTAATTTCTAATTACCGTTTTCCCTATAATCTATAGAATCCTTCCTTAACCATAAGCCGTTCGCCTTAAACGATACACAGGACTTACGTTGACTACCAGTAGAATATGATCTTTCCTACACAATTTGAAACAGTCCTGCAGACTTTACAAGAGCATAAACACATCCATAAAAAAGGCATTAATTCTTCGTAATATTATGCTGGGTTCTTATACAGACATCATCATACGGACTATATTCAAACCTGGACTTTAAAATTGAACATGAATTTCTCCCCTTCTTTGAAAGAGGAAATGATGCCCAAGTGTGATGCTTCACAAAGAATTGCTTTTCATGTACTTTGAAACTTCTTTGTATCTCTGTTTAGCTTCTCTTTATTTATTTTATTTAATTTTTTTTTAAACAGGAAGGCTCTGCTTTCTAACTGACTTTTGTCCTCGTGGTGCCATCAACCCCTGTTGTTAATTGAGCTCTTAAAAAAGTGTATCTAGGCAAATTTAGGCATACAGGTGTATCCTGCAAACAGCTGGTATAGTTTAAGAACCATGCTGGGTTCATGCTGGGACCTATTTTGCAAAATTTTCCTCTTCCTCTCCTTCCTATGCTTCACTTCCCCAAAAGCTTCAGAGGCATCTCTAAAAAACACTCCTTTTAAGTGCTGGCCTTGCAATTACTTACGTTCCAGCTAATTTTAAGCATGAATAGTCCAGTGGACTTCAGCTAAAATTTGGGGCTTTTTCAATAGTTACAAAAAAAAAAAAACCAAAAAAACAAAAAAAACAAAAAAAAACCAACCCTGCATTTTCTTTTAGGAAGATACATTTCACAAAAAGCTTGGAAGGCAGATATCTACCAGAAAACAGCCAGGCACACCTCTTAAATGCTGAAAGAGACGTTTTCAAAGTGCATCTTCTGCTTTACCTTAATTTCAGATACAGAAACTGTAGAGTCACTGCTTGGCACAAGTTTAAACATTTTAATTTCTTATGACTATTTTATGTGCGTACAATAGAACAAAGCAGATTTACAACATACTTTTGAGGAAAGAATACCGACAGTGGTTATCTCTTAATCACAGGAGAGGTTTTCAAAAGCACCTTGTGGCTTGAATTTCAAGGTGACTTTGTGCATTAAGTTACTCAGGTGCTTTTGAAAGCTGTACCTTTGGGGCTCTCCAAATTTTTAAACTTGGTCATAACCTTGTATTCAGAAATTATGGAGAAGTATCAGATGTCCCCCGTACGTTCCTGTCGGGAGATTCTGCTCCTGCCAGAACCAGCAGCGGATCACTCGGATGCAGGAATGACCTGAGATACATTTCACTTGCTCCAGAAGAAGGAAGACTACTAAAGAAGGATGAGAGACAAGCTTGTGGAGGGATTTTGTAGATGGCCAAGACCAGGAATTTTGCAGATGCAAAGGGAGAGCACAGCTGGGAAGCCAGATCAGCAAGCGGGATACTGAGTGGAAACAAGAATGAGCTGAATAGTCCCATTCTATTCAGTCAAACGCTTTTTCAGCTTCTATCAAATCATCTGCCGCAGGGGAGTTGCGTTTATTTGCCAGGTGGATAATGTTGCACACAGTGTTCAGGCATTTTCAAAATCTTTTTTTTTTTTTTTTTCTTTTACAAATACGACTTGGGAGGTAGATAGAGAATGTGGAGATTTCTTGTTTCTGAGCAGTTTAGTTCATACCATGGCAAATAGTTTATGATCTAAATTTATGAGAGCAATGATTCAGTAATTACCACAGAGCAAAGGATCACAATCAGGTTTTAAAGTGAGAATAAATTCAAGTGTTATGGAGTTGGCCCCATTTAGGCAGTTTTTCAGAGAACAGCAGTGGACACATCGCTGGGACACACCATGTCCCTTGTCAAGCTGCAAGTGCTGGCCAGCAAGTGTTAAGGGTCTTCTCAACAAAATGACTATAAAAATTATTTCCAAGTAGTTCAGACATTGTGCCTTTCTTAATTTTAGTCTAATAAAAATATCAGGTGAAATGTGCTAGCAGAAACTTTCTGAATGTGCTCTTTCTAAGAAAACTCCAGAATCAGGAGATTTCAGCCTAAACAGTGGCACATTATACAGAACTGAAACAAATTTCTGAAAAGCTCAGGCAACCTTACCTGTAAATTAGCTTATGAATTTTAGTAAAAATAAAAAAAATTCAAAGTAGAAAATTGCTAAAGAATTCAGGCAGTGCTTCTAAATTTCAATGAGGAAATCAGAAACATGGTTTTAAAGTAGCAGCAAGCATCGCCTTACGGAAACTGTGATCTCTTGGACTGTTATCATCATCATCATCGCCATCTTTTTGATCCTAAACTTTGCGCCCTTCAAATCTGAAGGAAAAAGGATATCCTCCCTTTTTGGGGGGTCTAGATTAAGGGCAGGAAAGCTTGTTAGTCCACTGCAAGCAGCAGTGGGGAGGTCATGTATGAAAATGGATGTGGGCAGTGAAGCCCCTCTCTTTCTTTGTGCTTTCAGTTGTGAAGCCTGTTCTCCGGAGATTGTCCCTTATTAATTATTTTTTTATTAAAGTAATATATTTCTTAAA